TGGCTGAAGCTGTAATCCAGTGTCTTATTTTTGCCCAGGAAAGTAAGGCTGGTAAATGGGATCTTTGTACCGACAGAATTATATTTACTCATGATGCCGGGAGCATGATTAAGTATCACAAAAACCTCACGTCTAAGGGCTATCGAGCACTCATATACAGGTATCCTTACTAATCCTATCCTTTGTATATACTATGAGTTAATTACAATCGGAGTCCTTGAGGTTCGCAATAACTATAAAAGGAACCCCAAGATATTATTCAAAATTATATTTATTCGTGCTTGTTGTGTTTTCGTGCAGTGGGGACCATGATATGTGTGTTCCATACACGGGAAGTGAAGCTTGGGTAAGATCGGTTGGTTATAAAATTGTTGATGAGTGGAGGCCTTGGATTGTGAAAGATCAAGTTGCCGGGTATGTTGCGAAAGTTTTAACTAAAAATAAAAGCTGAATTATATGACAAATAGTAAGCAGTCGCATTGTTAGCTTAATCGCAAAAGAGCCTAATTATTACCATTCTTTTTTTTTTTTTTTTTTTTTTTTTTTTNTCTTTGGGTAACTGGGTTTTTTGTTATTATGACAAAATATCTTTTCGAGATGTGCAATTTTTAAAATACAAAGTACAAACAAATGTTAGTAGGGTATTCATAAATCATAAGTCAGCTTCAATATATGCTTCTTTGTGCACACAGGTACATTCAGGGTTATGAGAAGAACCTCACATTTCTCACTATAAAGGTACATTTACAGACTTTCCATTAACTAAAGCTTTCGAGGCTGGTCTTAATTTTTCTAAAAAAAGATAATAATAATAATAATAGTAGTAGTAGTAGTAGTAGTAATAATAATAATAATAATAATAATAATAATAATAATAATAATAATAATAATTATGCAGGGAGCTGGACACACGGTGCCAGAATACAAACCACAAGAGGCTTTGCAGTTCTATTCACGTTGGCTGGAGGGCCTTAAGATTTGAAACAAAATCTGTTTATTTATATATTTATATTTATATTCATATATATATGGGACAAAATACAATGTAGTTATGAACTCATTCTCTGCCCTTTCTAGTTTCTAGTCTCTCTGTCTTGTTGACAGTTGAACTTGAGCTATGGAAAACAGATAGAACTATTTTACATAAGATGGTGTAATTGCTATTTATTCAATAAAAAAGGAATGCTAGTGCATTCATTATACATGTTTCTGGTCAAATGAAAGTTCTTAATGAAAAAAATGAGCATGAGATTAATGGTGTTTTTCAAGCTAAGCGAAGCATTTTGTGTTTGAGCTCGTGTTAATTCAATTGTTAGCTTGTGTAACAAATTCAAAATCATAATTGAGCTGCTCGAGAGGATGATTTGTGCGTTCGCGAACATCATTGACTCGATTCTCGATTGCTCTTTCGAAACCTATGAAATATAAAAATAATAAACTAGTTATTCGCGAACGAACAACGTCGACTCATTTAATAAAGAAGTTCGATTAGTTGTTCGAGTTTGACTAATCTAAGTAAACAAACTAACTAATATTTGTGAACAGTGGAGTTTGACTCATCTAAGTAAACGAACTAACTAATGTTTGTGAACAACTCAGTTCGAATAAGAGTTGTCTTAGTGAA